TATGCAGAGGCACTGAAAAAGGGAGAAGCATCCCTGTGAGCCAATCAAACTCTACTGCACTGCAGAGTGCTGTCAATCCTAAAGTAGCTAGTTTCATTTAGCAGGCTTTAGGGTTTCTGACATCATCTACAATGTAGGTGAAGTGCCTACATATCTACCTGTGGTTTAGCAGCATTAAAGTGAATGCAGGTTTACTTTAAAGTGTAATTCCACTTTACAAAAATACAAAATCTTTTTTTTTTAATATTGTAGCATAGATAATTGTCACACAAGAAATTTTTTAATTTAATGTTATTAAAACTATCTTTCCATTTCCAAAATTGTTGCTACTGTAATGTTCTAAATCTGTCAAAAACATACAATGCAATATGCCGACCTGGAGGCATTCTGTACACAGCTGGTGTACGGGACTCCCCCAGAAATGTCAGTTCCTTCTTCTGTGATTGGCTGGCTTATTTTCCCAGAAGTCTGCACTAAGACACATGTACAATTTTGGCATCTCTTGCAATAGGAATTTCATTTTTGGGGATACTTCCTAAGGGTTAATTACTACTAAAGGGATGCTGACACTGCACCTTTCCTCATTACAGCACAGGAAGTCCACCAGCTGATTATAATGAACCCGACCCTCCCATTCAGGGATCAGTCTGGAAAGGACATGCTGCAACAAACAGCTATTTCTTCAGAACAGAAACAGGTAGGAAACTGCAACAAAGTTTGTTAAAATCCTCACAATGCACATTGATCACCCAGAGAGGAATTATTTTTTACTCAACAAAAGTGAAATTTCCCCTTTAAGCCCAACTCTGAGCATTATTAACAATCTCCCCAGCAACTTATAAATAAAAAAGCAGCTCTGGATGCAATACTTACAGTACTTCTACTCACGCTGTCCCCTGCAGAAGCCCCTTCCTATACTAGATGTTCCCAGTCTTTCTGGTTGGAGGATGTCCAGGATCTTTCATTCTAGAAGAGTGAGGACATCCTGCAAGTACAGACATCATGGACCCGCTCTCTTGGGAGGCATCAGCATGGCGCTCTTGCACTCACAGTGTAATGGTGCACAGAACAGCACTGACCTCTTCACATCAGGGGTGCTCTCTGCATAATTGTGGGTCACCTACTCTGAAGGGGACACTGCGTGTCACATGTGCAGGCTTGCATATGAAAGATGTATATTTGCTCATGTTAACTACCTGACTTCACTTATTGCTTCCCATCATTTGAATGTACATAATAGTGTCAGACCTGTATTCAAAAGGGAAGGTAATTAACCACGGTGCTATACTGCCTGATACTCTTATACACATTTAGAAGCTGGGAGCCAGTGTTTGAGGTTATGCAGTTGTCAGACTTAGGCCCCATTCACACTGAGCGGTTCGCAAATCGCGCGTTTGTCACGCGATCTGCATTCTGCACGATATCGCGCGGTTTGTCACGCGTTATCGCGCAAATGCTTGCATTGAGCAACCTAGAATCGCGACAAAATCCGCTCCAAAAAGGGCCCTGCTGTAGCGACGCACGACCCGCGACAGCGACGGACAGAGCCCCATTGACATGCATTGGAGAGCGATATCGCGCGGTAAATATCCGCAATATCGCGCGGATTACAGCGCGATAAATCGCTCAGTGTGAATGGGGCCTAAGCAACGCAAGCTTTAAACTACAGCCTATGAAGAATTAAAATGCAGGATTAACCAACTATGCAAAATGAAATATCCAAATAACAGATTTAGTGGCTGGATCACCAGGTGAAAAAAGGCCTAAGAAAGATAATACGGCCACCACATCGAAGGATTGGTAAGCTGCATTATATTACATTTCTGCTTTTGGGTCTAAATTAGCTTTAAAAGAGAACTATGGGGTAACTGTTTTTCCCCATAGTTCTCTTAAGGGTCACGGGAGGACATATACTGGTGTCCTCCCGTGACCCAAAGCTCAGTATATCGCGAGCTACAGCTCACAGTATACTGAGACCGCCGCAGCTTGGACGGATCCCGACATTACCGTCGAGATCCACCCAGCTGCGTGAGTGACAGCTGGCTCTGCCTATCTAGGCAGAGCCAGCTGTACCCGCCCCTCCCCGTCCATTCCTCCAGTCAGCGCTGGAGGGTCGGAGCACGGAGGAGGGGGAATCCCTGAGGGGAGCCTTGAGTGACAGTAACCGCTGTCTGCAGGGAGATGATCGAGAAGTGAGCGAGCGACGCTATGTGTTCGCTCACTTCCTGATCTATTGAGCCAACCTGTGACAGTTTAATTGTCACACGTCGGCTCAAACTATGAGGATGAGTGATTTTCACATGCACATGCGATATAGCACATGTCAATGTGCATCCCATTAAGGCAGCCCGTTCATTGTGAATGGGCTACCAAACAACCACAATGAAAGAAAACATGTGCATGACACCTTTTTTAACACGGTAGCACACTAAAAACCCCTGGTAGTGCGAAGTAGGTTGTGGTAACACGTGTCAACAATCGTGTTTTGACATGTGTTGCCACAAACAGGAAGCCGGGAGGGGGCAGGTAATGACTCACCACCTGGCTTCCTGATTGGCCGGCTTCAGGATTTAAATCTTAGAAATGCATTCAAGTTCTTTAAAGGGTTATTAAACCCTCACGTTTTTTGCATATATCTATGGCTAGCAAGCAGTAGATATACGGAAAAACTTTAAAAAGAAAACAGAAAAACCTTTTGAAACAGAGTTAAGCATACCTGTGTCTCCACCGCGTGCTCCCGTCCAAACATATGAAAGTTTCTCGGGCTGCCGCAAAGGATCTTGGGACGGGCGCATGCGCAGTTCAGATGTTCAGCCGGGAAACGAGGAGAGACACAAGGTAAGTCTATGGACCAGTGTGCACCCGCACAGACACCGTGGGACATCAGAGAAGAGGAGGACAGAGGAGTCAGCACTAGATCGGAGACCCGCACCAGCGCTGGAGGGACAGCTGAAAAGGACAGTAAGGAAAAAGATGATTGGATTAAGAGGCATCATTTAAGGTAAGTCCCTACACTAACATTGGGGGGAGGGGGGAAAATCCTTTAATGTCACTTTAACTATTCACAAAAATGTATCTTATTTGTGTCTCACTCGGCGGTGGATCCTCAAATCATCTCTAAATTGGTGCTGACACTGTCCTTACTTCTTGAGGGTGGATACTTTTGATCCCCATGGACCCTGTGTGTGTTGCAGGGGTGTCCCAAGGTGGGGTTGTACCTGGAGCGGGTACCAGGTGACACCCTGCGCATGCGCGTCACGTCATCGAGCACGTGTGTAATAAAGTAACACGCTGTTACCTGCCGTTAGCCATCTCGGCAGCTCTGTCGGGCTCTCTTTGCCTTTTGCTTTGATGCACCTGGAATGAGTTTACTTATTATTATTAGGGATGCACCGATATATCGGCCGCCGAAACATATCGGCCGAAAATGGCACTTTTGGCATAATGCCCAAAGTGCCATTTTCCTGCTGCTACATCGGCGCATCCCTGATTTCTTTCCTCCTTGCTGGGCGCTTCTCTATGTCCGAGCGGGGAGAAGAGAAAGTGACAGCCGGCTGAGCTCTGCGGTGGAGAGCGCTGTGAGCGGCCGGCGTCTCCTCCCACACCGCTCTGCCGCAATTATTATACAGGATTTACAATATAAGGAAGACATTACAATCACAATACAATTCAAGATAAGATGGCAAGGAGGGCCCTGCCCATGAGGGCTTAGCTGGTTTAGGCTGAAAGGTAATTGGGGCTTTGAATTAGTAAGCCTTTAAACAATGGCCGCCAAGAAATCCAGACATCAGCCTCAAGCTCCTCTCCAACATAAACAAACAACGTAAGTTATTTTACAGCTGAACTAGGAGCCAAAGCAATTTTTGGATACTTTGCGCTTTAAAAAATAATTTACCACTAATGGTGTCCCCCGCATGTGGCTGATGCTGCATCTCTTACTTTCATGACAGCTTCGGACTTGTTCCCCACCTTGTCCATTCAGAAAATGTCTTGTATCCTTTTTTCAGAGAGCAAGACATTCTGTGTTTGGACGAGGGGAGATTGTGGCATTCACCAACACCTCCTCCACACACCCAATGCCTTGCAGTCTATGAAAGGACATTTTCTGAATGGAAAATGCTATCAAAACTGTAGTCTAGCTGGAGCTTTAACTCTCAGTGCTGGATGTTCAGGGGTAAGAAGGGTTGCCACCTGTCCACTGGATTCATCCGGACAGTCTGGGTTTTGAATGCTGTGTCCGGGTTTCATGGCAGCAAAACCTGGACACAAGGGGGGTGATTTACTAACCGAAACACACGCACGCACTAGGTGCGTGTGATTTTTACACAGCAAAACTTATTTATCAACCAAAAAGTCTCTAAAAGCATATTTCCACTAATGCCATATATGGAAAAATCATGCACATGATGCATATATAATGCTGCTTCACAGTTTAGACAAAAATGGTTAGCTCATGCATTTACATTCCTGCATTCATCAACGCAAGCAACACAACATAGAGCTAATAAATAATCCACCACTCATTCTCCCCAAAAAAATGTCTGTGTTTAGGTTTCGCTTGAAGAAAAGGTACCCTAGGTGTAAGTGTAGGGGCTGAATGACAGTGTAAAGTTTAAGGAAAGCACCACTTCATTAGGGGACATTTCTTTTTACAGTGCAAATATCCAAACATTTTTCTCTCCGGAGTTCTGCTTTAATAACTGTACTATAAGCTTTCGGGTGTACCAATATGGCGCGCCCGGTCAGCCAGATACGCCCACAGAGTACCAATATGACTGCACGGATGCGGAAAAGCCCAGCCGATTCCAAGCCTCGTTTTGGCTCGGACACGTTTATTGACAACAAATAAGTAGATTGGATAGTCCAACCACATCCTCTCCGCTACTGGCTAGAACCTAGCCTGAAGTCCCGCCCATCCCTTCCACCTGACGAATCATGCTCTTGGCCGCCCGAGTCCCCGCCCTCCCAGCCAGTTGGCCTGGAATGCTGTGACGTCCTCAGTCTACGTTGTGCGAGCCTCCTTACTCCATCTTGTCATTTATCCCCCTCCCCCATCGAACGCTAAGGCAGACGGGGGGGAAAAGACAATCCGCCGCCATCCTCCTCCCGGCAGCCTTTCCCCATCCCGAATACCCGCTGAACGGAACCCCCTCACCCGGCGCGTCGA